TGCACGGTAAAGTTTGATTTCACCGACTCCGTATGCCCTAATACACGCACAGTCGCAGTTCCCCACCTCGAGGCCACCTTCTTCCTCACCCTCACTACCGCCCACACGTACATCATACACAAGAATGAGGCGTATGCGTTCACAGGGAACATCACGTCCCTCGCTAAGCAGTCTATCCTCCCGTTTCTAGGCTCGTTCACTCCTAATCAACTTCAACAGCACCGAGCCGAACTGCGTGGACGTTTGCAACGCTGGAGAAACTTAAAAGTGTGTGCGTTCAATTGGTTGATTCTGGTATCTACTGATGTTTTGATGTATCTTCGGTTGGGTTATCATGAGAAGCATATTCGAAGGATTTGGCATTCTATAGCACCACCTTCTAAGTTTATGGAAATAAGCCAGACAGCGATCCAACTCGTACTCTACACTTCCAGAAGTCTGCGAACCCCACCCGAGTTGCTTGTAGCCCTTTCCTCTCAAAGCCTCCCGAGCCAAGATTCGTGCCCACCCTTGAGTGCACCTTCGAGCTTGACCCAGCCCTCACCCGTGCCGATGTTCAGTTCGTGGCGCAACAAGGGCATCGGCAAGGGCGGCAAGTCTGGAGGCGCGGGTGGTCCGTATGGTGGCCCACGCGCCCCACGCTACAGCGGCCCCCAGCAGCGGAACTGGGGATACGATCGTGGCGGCGGTGGTGGCGGCCAAGGCTTCGCGGGCATGCTTGGCCAGATGACCTCAGTCATGGACAACATCGCTGCCCTGGGTGAGCTTACGCGGGTGGGTCACGCGCTCTCGCAGGCTCAGCAGCCCCACCCCCAGGGTAGTGGCTCGACGCCCCCAGCCTCGGGCACGGCGGCAGTACCGGGTGCAGCTGAGCCCGCAAGGGATCTGGTCAAGGCGCTGACTGAGGTCCTGCAGACCAACGCTCCAGGGGATACCAGGCTCCAGCAGACGGTGGAGCGCTTGCAAAGCCTCGTTGGGACAGGTACTCCAGTGTCAGGATCAGGCTCGCAAGCAGCGTCTGGTGCAAACTCCCTGGAGTCCAACCCTGTGATCCAGCAGATGCGGGCCAGCCTCACCAGCATCCAGGCGACAGTTGATCAACATGGTCAGCAGATTTCCTCCCTTACCTCTACTCTTTCTTCGACAGCCGAGGACTCACGTGCGACCCGTGAGATGATGGAACGCATGTTGGGAACGCCGCAGCAGAATCGGGAGACCCTCCTTACCCCACCAAGGCTCTTGCGACAGACGGAGTCTCCGCCTGGCCCTGGACCCTCAGCTGTACCACCACGTGCACCTACGGCCGCTGAGGAGGGACTTGCTGATGGCACCCCGCTGTTCAGCCCCATGATCAATGCGGCCACCCACAGCTCCGCACTGGAACGGCTTGGGATCAGCGCCACGCGCGCCAACATGGCCCAGCTGGCCCAGGAGATCACGATGAGCGAGGGCGCATCCCTTCCTTTCGCGGAGTGGTGGACCCAGGCTTCGAGGTGTAAGTCTGTGGGACAATGGGGTACCAAGCTTCAGGCCTTTGGCCTGCCGCAAGCTGAGCTTGCCAACATCAGCAGTTTCAACAAGGTGGGTCAGATGCTCTTCGCCCACCTGCTGAAGAGTGGTGCGTGGGCTCAGACTGACCAGCAGTATACCCTCCTTCAATGAGCGCCCGCCCCAGCTCCCATGAAAGCTTCTGTTTTTGACACTTCTCTGCTGGCGACGTGGAACGATGTGGTCTGGCCAATGATACGCCTCTTCTTTGTGCTGGTGCCCCTCGTTATCTTTGGTTGGACGGCTTACCAGGCGTGCCTCTTCGTTGGCTTCGCTCGTTTTTCGGCAGAGGAGATTCTCACTTTCTCTATTCAACGTGTGGTTGCCATCGTTCCCTTCCTGGCGATCCGCGTACTTGCCTCCCTTACGTGGCCAGGACTTGGATCGTGGGCTAGTTCTCTATTGACGGGTACCTTTGGAGGCTCTGACCCAAACACTGAGACCCCACATATTCTGGACCTCCCCGTGTACGGTGATCGTGAGAAATGGGCTTGGTTCGCGGCGGTGGTGCAGCCTGTCCTGGTGGGGCTCTGTGCATGGCTCCATCACTAGACCCGTGAACCTATTGCCTATCATGCCTCTCCTCTCCGCTAATCTTCTGAGTGATGCCTGTTGCAGGTGTGTGATAGCTTCTGCCTTACGTCTGAGGCTTGAGTACTGTCGCAGCTGTCTTTTCCCTCCCCTGACCTGTTTGGACGGGTTGTGTGTGTGTGTGTGTGCGTTTCAACTTTGACAATCATTGGAGACATCATTTTCGGCTCCTGCGAGCTAGGGGATGTCTCGGGGCCAGCCACACATGCAGTATGTGCGTAGCTAGATTTCAGATTGTCTGTATGCATGCTCCTTAGTTTATGTGCGTAGAAAGATTCCAGGTTGTCTGTATGCATGCTTTCTTTAGTTGCCCTCTCAGTCCGCCTCACACGCACCATAGCTTTTCATCTCGAGCCTCCGCTGACGGAGGGTTTAGGGCGCCGCTCAAGGCCCGAGGGCCGCAGAGATTCTCGGTCCTCCGTCACCGCAGGCACGGTTCACACGATCGCTCGAGGAAAAGGGTTTGATCTCTACTGAAGGCCACAGCTGGAGGAGGGTCGACGCCAGGTACCGTGAGCAATACGTGATATTGAACGAAACTCATCACAAGTGTGTGTGTGTGTGTTGGTGAACAGTCGCGCACGAGCGCGCTCGCAATGCTCGTGTCCCAGCCCCCCTACCCTGCCTCGGCTGCGCCCAAGATTCAGGTCCCTCCTTGTCTCGCCTGCGCTCAAAGATCGCCCATCCTTCCCCTGCTCTCCCGTGCCGCCCCCCTTGCGCGGACGACGGATGGACGACGCTGCACAACACCGAACAGCAAAGGGCGAACGCCGAACGACTGGCGACGACCGAGCCCCGACCGAGAAAGGTCCGGCCTGCGGAAGGAGACCTGAAGATCCGCTACAATGCCTCCCAGAAAATGGAGCGGGGCTGGAGTCGGCGGTTCAAAGATGGGGTCCTGAGGGATGGGGCCCTAAGGATAGGAAGAGATCCAAGCGTGAATTTACATTGTTTGAGTCACCTCGTCCTTAGGACCCCATCTCTCAGGACCTCATCTTTGAACCGCCGACGGAGAACAGGTGCTCCTGGTCTCGGAACCGATCCGGGCATCGCATGCTTGGATTTTCTGTCACAAGCTTCCCGTCGCACTCCCCGAGGCGGCCGTTCTTGGAGGGCCCGGGCGCAGGCCCGCGGCGAGACGCCTCCGCCCCCGGAGTCAGCCTTCCAAGAGGCTGGAGAGGTGGCGGGAAGCTGGCGTCTCGGGCACGACTCCGAGAGGAGCGGGCGCGCGAGCGCGCGCACGCACAGCGGGGGCGTCTCCGAAAGGGGGGGGGCTGTCCAAGAGGGGGAAGGTCGCAGAACATGGCCCGAGGCATCTGCACGGAACCTTGAGGGGGAGGAGGAAGAGAAGGAGGAGGAGGAGGAGGACGAGGAGGACGAGGAGGAGGAGGGGGGCATGCCCCGAGCAGTGCGGTGATGCGCCACAGAAGCCTGCGCTCTCAACCTGGATCGGGAAGCTCCCCCATCTGCCACGGGGCGGCCCATGGGTCCCTGCGTGGATAATTAAGCATCTGCACGGAAGCCCCAAGCCAAAAAGGAGAACGAACGAGCGAGGGAGGCGACACAGAGTGAGAGAGATATAAAGCACGAGGCATGGCGCGGCTACGTCTGGTGCGGAAACCCTCATCAATTCTCGCGAACGTCCAGGACAAAGGGGGCCAGGGGAAATACTGAACAAAAAGAGGGCGCCATGACATCCAGGGTGACATCATCGCCCCTGCCATGATATCCGCCCGCCCCTGGTCATCACCACCGTCTTGGCCGCCCCCGAGAACACTTCGAACCTCAATGCTCTGGAGCACTTTAGCATGAAAAGAAGAAGTCCTGAGGGAAATGGGTCCTGGTCCCCGGGGCCTTCCCCCGGGACGAGAATTTCATCCTGATCGTTTTCTGACAATCCCGGGGCCCGTGGAGGGGGAACAACTTCAGGACCCGATTTTTGACGAAGCCAGGACGCGGACAACATCGGGTGAGGATAACTCGAGGATCTCTGTGATCAGGCGGCAGTGGAGGATGTCTCGGGCGACGCGGCCTTGTCACAGCGGTCCGGAACGGTCTGGAACAGATTTTTCGTCGTCCTTGCCCCGTCCGATCCCAGGGCCCGTGAAGGGCCCTCGGGAAACCGGAAGCGGCGAAAAGCCTCGGGACCGATGTCCCTGGGGGGCCCATTCCTTCATTAGAAAAGAAAAAGCACTATAGACATGAACTCTTGGCGCTCGCGCGGATTTCTTGGATCTGACCTGGCCCCCCCTCCCTGGCGCGCGGAGCGCGCAAGGGGCGGCGCCGGAGGCGCCGCCAAGGGGGGCCCCGCCCGAATCAAAGCTCTAGCCTGGCCCCTCCTCGTATCTCGTCCTCCTCCTCCTCCTCCTCCTCCTCCTCCTCCTCCTCCTCCTCCTCCTCCTCCTCCTCCTCCTCCCCCTCCTCCTCCTCCTTTTGCGCCGCCCTGGGGGGCCCCGAGTCCGGTGAGGCCCCCGGGCAAGCGGGCGGCGCGCCGCGCGCGCCCGCGCCCAGCGGCCGCCGCCCGCTGCTGGCGCTGGCGCCAGGCCGCCGCCGCCGGCGGGCCGCCTCCGCCGCTGGGCCGCCGAGCGGGCGCCGCTGAGCCGCCGCGGGGCCGCCGCCGCCGCCGGGGGCGCCGCCGCCGCCGCGCAGCGCCAGCGCCCTCCTCCAGCGCCGAAGCCGCCGCGGGCCGCGGGCCAGGCGGTTGTGACGTTGGGGGTCTGAATCACCCCCACGCCTGGCCCGATGTCGCGCCCGCGGCGGCGGCCGCCGCAGCCTCCAGCAGCCTGCTCGCGGGCACCCCGCTGCCGCCGCCGGCGTGGCCCAGCCCCCAGCAGCTGGATCAGACGCCCAGCAAGAACAGCCTGCATGGCCTGCTCGGGAGCCTGGCCCTCGAGGGCAAGGACGAGCACCTGCGCCAGCGCGAGCTTTCCCTTTTCGTGGCCGCGTAGGGCCGCCCAGTGCTCGAAACGAGCGCCAGACAGCCGGGGGCCAGTGGTGCGGGTGCTTCCCAAGAGCGCCCCCTGCTTTCTCAGCGGCGTCGGCCTCCCACGGCGCAGGCGGCGCCGCGAAGGGCGGCGGCGGGTCGGGTCGCTAGCGGCCGGCGCTGCGAGGAAGAAGGCGGCGAGGTCGCGGGCCACGCCGGGCCCCGTCGCCAGCTTGCTCGGCCCTGCGGCGGCCGCGGCGGCACGGCCTACCTCGCCAAGCACGATGAGCTCGTGCGTGCGGCGCGCTAGTGTCTCAGGGCTGCGGTGTGTCTGGCGGTCGGCGGCGGGTTCTCCCGGTCGCGCCGTTGCTGCCCACAGCGCTGCCCACTCGCCTGCCCAGGCCTGGCGGAGCCGCCAAGGCAGGCCAAAGCAACACTTTAGCAGCAGACGGGCGACCCTTGATGCTGCTGACGGGCGGGATGGCGAACAGCAGCCGCGGCAGTAAGAGAAGCCGGGCCCAGGCTGCCTCATTCGCGGGTTCCGCGGCGCCACCGTGCGCAGGGCCGCCGCGAGCACGTCGGCGACTGCCGTGGTCAGGCTGGCCGGGGCTGCACTCCACGTCGGCACGGCCTCCCGCAAGGCACCATGCAGGTCGACGCTCGCCCGCCAGGCCAATCCCGGGAGCTCGCCCGCCTCCGCCGCCAGAGCGTGTCGCGCCCGAAGGTCGTTGTCCGGAGCGTCGGCGGCGGCTGGTGGGCCCGTCCGTGGCGGCGGCGCCATGCAGGCGAGGACCTCCGTGCGCGCCTCCTCTGGCAGCGCCGCGAGTCCTTCCACGCTGCCCGAGGAAATCCCGCCCGCAATGCACGCGGGGTGCCAGAAATGCCTGTCAGGGTTGGCCCGGCTCGCGAGCCGCACCGCATTCGGAACGAAGCCTTGGCAGCAGACATGGCATGCCGCGACGTACTTGCGCGGGGCCTGCAGGCTGGCGACCCACGTGTGCACCCAGGAAGGGCGCCCGCCTGCCGGCGCGGGCGACACTTCGGCAGCAACGACGCCATGGTCGTCGCCAGGGGAGGCGTCGGGGGGCCGCGCGCGTGCCGTCGCCTCGCGCGAGGAGGCTGGGGCCGCCCCACTTGTCTCCTCCATAACCTCATCAGGAACAGCAGCACCAGGCGGGCCGCCGGCAGCAGCGGCGCCAGGGGCGCCACCAAGGAAGGCTGCCGGCAGCTGCGAGCTCGCCGCTGCGTCGCGCTCGGAGGCGGGAGTCCCCATGCGCGTATCTTCGTCGTCGTCCTCGTCCTCCCTCCTCTCTCCTCCTCCTCCTCCTCCTCCTCCTCCTCCTCCTCCTCCTCCTCCTCCTCCTCCTCCTCTTCCTTCTCCCTCCTCTCTCCTCCTCCCTTCTCTCTCGCCTTCCTGCTCGTGTGACTGTAGACCCAAGCAGACGAACCTGTTCGCAGGAGCGCCGCGGCGGCCGCGCGCTCGCAGGAGTGCCGGCCGGCGGCCCCGAGCGCGACCCGCTCACGGGCGGGGGCGGAGCCTTCGAGCCGTGGAGGCTCTCGAAGGCGAACTGCGCGGCCTCCGCGCGGAGGGCCCGCCCCGCGGACGGCGGCGGCGGCGGCGGGAGCGGGCAGCAGGTGAAGCTCCTCGTTCCTCCTCCTCCTCCTCCTCCTCCTCCTCCTCCTCCTCAGCCTCCTCATTCCACCTCCTCCTCCTCCTCATCCTCCTCCTCCTGCCTCCTCCTCCTCCGCCTCCTCCTGCCTCCTCATCCTCATCCTCGTCCTCGTCCTCCACCTCCTCCTCAGCCTCTTCCTCCTCCTCCTCCTCCTCCTCCTCCTCCTCTCTTGGTGGGGGTCGGGCGTGGGATATGATACTCTACTCGCCTGCGTGCCTCGCCATCCAGGCGGCCCAGGCTGCTCGCGTGGCGTCGGACCGACGCTCGCTGTTCCTGCAGGATAAGGATGGATGCTGTGATACCCCAGTCTTGTGGAAGCCGATGCTCGAGCTCATGCGGCTGAAGCCCAGCTCGGATTGGGGTGTGCATCACCAGAATGTACTGCGTGGCTTGATTGTTGGCTTTCACTGGTGCCAGCTTAGGCTATACCAGCATGAACCAACTCTTCCTGTGGAATGCCAGCTGTGCTCGGCTGGGTGCGGCAGTTTTTTTCATCGGGCGGTTATGTGTGCCACGCGCTGGAAGCCTGGAGGCGTGACAACCTCGCGTCGGCCCCCCGGGCCTGGCGCGAGAGGTTTTCAAGGGGCGTGTTTCCCGTTCTGGGGGTTCTCCTTCGGGAGGAAACCTTTCCAGCCTGATTGGCAATGCAGGTGGGTTGGAGCGCAGCCTCCCTTCCTGCTCGACGGCGGCTTTGCCTTCTGTGACGGCTCCTGCCTCGATGCGGATTCCCAACGGTGAGGGTGGCGGGCTGGACGTTCATGTTGCACAATACTCAGCATCAACTCATCGGAGGGCTGTACGGGGCAGTCCCGCCCGACTTCGGAGTGCAGCAGTCCGCCGGAGACGAGGAGCACTACGCGGTGCTCCAACTAGCCGAGCACGCGCTGGGCACTTATTATGTTCTGATTGACTGTCGGTCGACAATCTCGTGCTGCCAGAAGCCTCGAGCCTCGCAGGCAGCGACTGATCCTCGAGCGCACCTCAGGCGCAGGGTGCACGCTCGCGAGGCTTGTGTGCAGAGAGACTTCGTGCATGTGAAGGCTTACACGACGGCCAGACCAATGCTGGAAAACAAGATTTCGGCCTTCCACCGCAAAGGGAACGCCCTCATCGACTCGTGAGTCAAGAAGGGGGCCGCCTTCGCTCGTCCGAACCTGTCGGCGGTGCACTTCTTGGAAGGGTGCAGGGCCGTCGCGTCTCAGGTGTGCAGGTTTGTGGCCAGGGTTTCGAAGCAGTTGGCCGACCTCGAGCTTCGTGACCACCTGGATTTGATGTACCTTAAGAGAACAAATTTAAAGGCTTGGCCCCCTGATGTGCCGTATCCTGAGTGCGACCCTGGTTCTGGGGGGGACTCCGATGAGCCTCTGGCAGGCTCGGAACCTGGGCCCTCAGGAGCTGCCGCTCCCAGGGGACCGTGGCTCATCCAGGACCACCAAGTGTTGGAGGCCGCCATTTTGGACGGCAAGTCAAAACCGATGCTGTATTACTCCTTGTGCTGGCAGTATGGTGTGTATCCCGGCCAGCGCGGGTTGATGGGACTGTTTGTTGGTCTTCGCCACCTCTCGGAAGGCCCTGGCCGCTCGCAATCGGCTTCAGGGCTCCCAGCACCCGACTCGTCCCGATGTGGCCCTGGGGGATGGTCGGATGGTCGCCCGCAGTCGGTGTCGACTCGGGCCCGCTGGGCGGGCCACTTCGGGGAGTCGGTGGAAGGGGAGCCCGTGGCGAGGGGAAAGATCCCACGCTTCTTGCCGCAGGGCCCCCTCTCCGCAGGTGGACCTTGTTGCGAGTCTGCGAGCGCTTGGATTCGCCGACCGCGAAGAGGCGGAGCGGATCGGCCAGCACGCACCCGAGGCCAGGGCCGAGCGCACGAGGAGCGCGGCCGAGCCTGAAGAGGCCCCGGGCTTAGCTTCGGGGGGCGGGGGGTGCTCTGTCGCAGGACCCGCCCGAGGTGGGTCGCAGCCTCGCGGGGACAAACATGTCTCCTCGGATGAGCACCGCACCCCTTTTCCCCCCTCTTCTCTCCCCCTGGCTCCTCCCTTCATTGGCGTTGAACCTCCTCCTCCTCCTCCTCCTCCTCGTGCCTTCCCCTCCGCTCCTTTTCCTTACAGATAACTCCTCCCTGTCGCACCCCGAGGCTGGTCGAAAGTGCGAGCTGGGCGTTTCGCTTGACACTTCCTCACCGTCTACAATCTTGAAGTTTAGAAACTGGCAGCAGCTTCGCGGATTGAGCGCGGGTGGGTTGCAATGTGTGGCTCCCGCCTTCGCGCTGCGCACACCCGTTCATAACAATATGATGAGCTTCGCGGATTGAGGGCGGGTGGTTGTCAACACGTGGCTTTCGCATTAGCGCCGCCCACATTCGTTTTTCTTGCGCGTCAGAATTTCACGGATTCCAGTGGTCAACGTGCCAGAAATGGTGATTTGGATGGGCCCAAGATTGTGAGGGAGCCACATATACGTTGATTTGCGGTGCTGAAGTCACAGGAATGGTGGTCTGGCGAGGTTTAGGATCATCAAGACGCAACGGTCATCTTGATTCGTTTCGTTGGAGTCCCGGGAACGGTGTCTTGGCACGCTTCAGGATCGTCAAACGGTTCCCTCCCATCCAGGCAGTCCCCTCAGGGGAAATGAACCTGGCCTGCGGCGAGGAAGCCTGGAGGGAGGGATTATTCCAACATTTTGATGAGTCGTTGGTTTCCACTGGTCCTCCTCCTCCTCCTCCTCCTCCTCCTCCTCCTCCTCCTCCTCCTACTCCTCCTCCTCCTCCTGGTCTTCCTCCCTTCCCCTGCTCCCTCGTTGTACCCCCTCCTCCTTTCTCATCCTCCTCCCCGGCCTCCACTTTCTCCGTCCTCCTCCTGCTCCCTCCTCCTGCCCCCTCCTCCTCCTGCCCACCTCTTCCTCCTCCTCCTCCTCCTCCTCCTCTTCCTCCTCCTCCTGCTCCCCCTCCTCCTCCTCCTCCTCCTCCTCCTCCTCCTCCTCCTCCTCCTCCTCCACCATCCATTTTCCTTCCACAAAAGCGTCTCCCTGTCGCACCCCGAAGCCAGTTTTTAGGGCGTGCTGGGCGTTTCGCCTGAGACGTCATCACCACTTGTGACTCTGAAGCTTGAAAACTGGCGACAGCGTCACAGATGGAGGGCGGGTCGTTTTAAACATGTGGTTATCGCTTTAGCGCGGCGCACATTCGCTTTCAACATTTGCAAGAGCTTAGCTGATTGAGGGCGGGTCGTTTTCAAAATGCGGCTCTCGCCTCAGCGCGGCTCACACTCGCTGTAAACAGTTGCAAGAGTTTCACTGGTTGAGGGCGGGTAGTTTTCAAAATGTGGCCCTCGCCCTAGCGCGGCGCACATTCGTTTTAGACAGTGCAAGGAGTTTCACTGTATTGAGGGCGGGTCGTTTTCAACATGTGGTTCTCGCTTTTTAGCGCGGCGCACACTCGTTTAAATAAATTGCAAGAGCGTCACTGCTTGAGGGCGGTTCGTTTTCTCTCCTCCTTCTCCTCCTCCTCCTCCTCCTCTTCCTCCTGCTCCTCCTCCTTCTCCTCCTCCTCCTGCTCATCCGCCTCCGCCTCCACCTCCGCCTCCGCCTCCGTCTCCTCCTCTGCCTCCTCCTCCTCTTCTTCTTATTTTCTCATTATTAAAATTACTATTCGCCTCCGCCTCCTCCTCCTCCTCCTCCTCCTCCTCCTCCTCCTCCTCCTCCTCCTCCTCCCCCTCCCCCTCCCGATCCTGCTCCTCCTCCTCCTCCTCCTCCTGCTCCTCCTCCTGCTCCTGCTCTCCTCCTCCTCCTCGTCTTCCATCCTTACCACCACCACCACCACCACCACCACCACCATCATCATCATCATCATCATCATCATCATCATCACCATCATCATCATCATCATCATCATCATCATCATCATCATCATCATCATCATCATCATCATCATCATCATCATCATCATCAGCATCATCATCATCGTCATCATCATCATCATGATCATGACCATGATCATGATCATGATCATAATCATCAGCATCATCAGCAGCATCATCATCATCATCACCATCATCATCATCACAAGCATCATCATCATCAGCATCAGCATCATTATCATCACCACCATCATCATCAGCAGCATCAAACTCATCATCATCATCATCAGCAGCATCATCATAATCATCAGGATCCCCACCATCATCATCATCAACATCATCCTCATCATTATCAACAATATCATCACCATCATTATCATCGCCATCATCATCAACATGATGATCATCATCGTGATAATCAGCATCGGCAACATCGTCATCATCACCAACATCATCATGATCCAGAGCATGAGCATGATGATCATCATCATCAACGTCATCATAATCATTAGCAACATCAACAGCATCATCACCAGCATCATCATCATCGTCGACAGCAGTATCATCATCACCATCATCGTCATCATCAGCATCATCATCAAGCCACTACCAGCACATCATCATGATAAGCAGTATCAGAATCATCATCAGCATCATCAGCATCAGCATCATCGTCTTCATCAGCATCAACAGCATCAGCAGCAGACTCATAATCATCATAATCATCATACGCATCAGCATGGTCACAATCATGATCACGATGATCAGCGTCAACATCATCCTCAGCATCATCATCGTCATCAGCAGCATCATCATCACAATTATCATCATCAGCATCCTACTTACAATCAGCATCATCATCAGCAGCATCGTCATCACCATCATCAATCAACAGCATAAGCACCAGCACCAGCATCATCATCATCATCATCATCAGCATCATCATCATCAGCATAATCAGCATCAACATCAGCATCAGCATCAACATCAGCATCAGCGTCATCATCAACAGCATCATCAGCATCATCATCATTATCATCCTGCTTCTCC